GGTAATTAGATAAGTAATATAAATCTAGATTGTTTTATCTCGAATTTATCTATTTTCTAGATTTTATTTATTAGCATTTACAATTCCTTTATAAAACTCATCCCTACCCTCAAAATGTAGCTTTTCGCCATTTTATAATAATTAAAAATATAAAATGTTTTTAATAATAAAATAGCGTAACAGATGGTGTCACACTTGCCGTTTTAATGTTGTCGAGAAAGTTAAGCAACTTGTTGCTGGATTTTTTTAACAGTAGTTAAATTTAAGTAATTTATACCCATATAATGATATAATGATACACGTTTTATCCATTTGGAATGTCTGAAACCCGCAAGAAAACTGCATAATATCTATATATTAGAGAATTAAGAAATGCACTACCAAAAATTCACTTCGGATATGCTATCACTTGATGTGATTCCTCAATTTCGTCATTATAAATAGTTATGTTTGAGTAGCATATACAACACAAAGCATCGTTATGATGAAATTCATTTCATAGATTTAAGATAGGAAAATAATATTACAGAAAAATGAGTCAAAGAATTGTAAAATTTCTAACATCATTGTGTTAGTGTGGAGAAGCATTTTTCAAAAAGTCGTTTAGACAATTATTATAAATTTTCCATAAACCTCAATTTATAATCAAGCTAAAATTTTTCGAATATAATTTGTTATATTTGAAAACTGTTATACAGTCGACCCCCCTATAACACGGTAGATACGTTCCGTTCTTTATGAAATTGATGTTCTAAGAGTCCTTAAATACATGACCCAATCACAGCCCGGCACGTATGCAGTTTACGAACTACGGCTCCTTGAAAGGTTTTCTTCCTTAAAATTAATCGATTCTAGACTAATTCGACTTAACATTTCCAAAATACGTATAATTTTTTGGGAATAATCCATATAAACTATGCTATAAACAAAAAAGGTGTAAGATTACTTACCGAGTGTGCACCGTTCGACGACGCCATTGTTTAAGCTTGTTTTCGTCGTGGAGCGGCGCATTGAATGGCGCTCGCGTGCTTCCTGATAAATTATTTTTTTTGCGAAAAATTCGCTAAACTTTAGAGACATCATTAATATAAATATAATTTTTATGGACGTTAAATAATAAATGGTTTTTAGTAGGTCCGCTGCTCGTTTAAACTCAACGGTTTGTACAATATTCGCTATTGGTCTAGATTCGACCAATCCTGTCGCGACACGAGTCGGCGATGACGTTTTATTGAATTATACGAGTTTTTTTAGCGTGTTTATACGAATACTGTCGCAATTTTTTAGGAAATGTAGGAATCCGAACTATATGAACCCGTGTTATAGGGGAGTCGACTGTATATTTAATATTACTTTCTACTTATATAAACTTATACTTTATACTTATGTAATAAATTTGATAATATTTACATTATTCTGTAATTATTTTACTACTTAAATTCTGGCAAACCTAAATTACTTCTACATTGAAATGCATTCGTTTTGGTTTGTGAAGACATATTGACGTTGTAGAGCTGTAGCTACCGGGATTATGAGGTGGCCAAGGTTCCTCAGCTTAGTCAGCTTTTTATATGCAGTATGGAAGGTATATGCTTTCGTTTTCATCAATTGGGCGACTGTTGCTTTTTTTTACACTTGTACTACAGCTAATATGCCTAGTACTGGAAAAGCGAAAAATATCAGTCATAATTTTTTCAGCTAGCTCCCAATAATTTATTCCTGGCTAATTTACTCTGACATTGGTAAATAGGGTATTTCAAGTTTTTCACCTACTTTTCGGTTGTTACTTTATCTAAAAAGAAAATATAAAGATGGGCACACTAGACTTTTTCTGCTCAAAAACATTTACGGCAGAAAAACATGGTTCAGTCACTTTCCTCCAGTGGCGTACCGTGAGTGTCAGCCGCCCGGGGCGGAGGAAAATTTCGGCCCCCCCTTATTTAGGTATTTCAATTTAAAAGACCAAAATTCAGTTTTGCCACAGAACAAGCAATGAAAAATTCGGTGGTAGTGCAGCGACCTGTTTAAAATAGTACTATTGGATATTAGTGGTGTATATGAACGCGAATGAATCGTACAAGCAAAAAAAAAAAAAGTCAACGGGTTTCGCAAGAACTCCTCGGATGAAAAAGTTACTAGTTCACCAGGCGAGCCGATTCCCGGACTGTCCGGACGATAGCACTATCGTAGGCGCGATGCAAGTATAGATTAGGATGTTTCAAATTTTCACAAGATATAATTATTTATTGTGAAATTTTGCCGCCCGGGGCGGGCCGCCCCTGCCGCCCCCACTACGATACGCCACTGCTTTCCTCTTTCCTTTTCTTCAACAGCTATACATTAGACGAACGAACAATATATAAATCACCATGCAGCGTCATCTAGAAAATCCGTGCCTTCTTTTCAATAATAGAGAGGTTGAGGCGCACGTATTTAGCCCAAAACGTGTACGGGTAACGGGTGAGCGCCGCCATCTGGCAGTTCTGGACCGTCGATAATGGCGTTTGCTACGTGTAGCTTGGTGAGTACACGATCGGCTTAAACGTCTTCATTTTTTTGTGTTTGGGGTTAAAATTATGATTTATTTTGCTTCCGCCATTTTTTTCAACTTATTTCCTGTGAGTCAATGCGCGATGTTCACTGAGTCACGTGATGTTATGAACGTGTGCCTCAACGATTTTTACTTGGACTTTAAACGTGTAACGTGTACTTCTGCTACCCGTACACGTTTAACGTTTGAACTTCTGCAACAACCTCTCTAATATGACGTTCCCGATACGTCGACAATCGATCGCTCCGATTGGCTTGTGTCGCAAACAGAAACAAATAAGTTGAGCTGGATTGAATTCTGTTTCAGTCCTGTTTGGTGAAAAATAGTTTATTTTTTATGAGGTAAAGTGCATTGTTCTCCGCATAAAGCGTTTAGGGGCTACAAAGAAAGAAGAATCGTACGTTACTTAAGAGTCGGTTAAATCTTACATCAAAGGAGGAGCTTGGCGAAAGTAGTCCCACTTTATGATTTTAATGCTGTTTCTTAAATTTATTTATGAAAATATCTTATTTTAAGAAATAAATGACGAAAGTGTACATTTATAACTGAATAAATAAAGTATCGTAGGCCTATCTCTTTGAAATTTGTGAAATCAAATCATTCGAAATTTTGTTCAAAAAATTTTCTGGTTACACTACCATAAGTCAACAAACCTAATGTATATTATTTTGGTTTTTATAATGTAAATAAATAAAATTTTATTTTATTATATAAATTAACACACGAAAGTTATTTTAAGTTACGATCAGAGAAATGTACTGTACAGTACATGTTTCACAGCTCTCTTTTAACGCGGCCGGATGGCCGAGTGGTCAAGGTGACAACCTACCGCTCTGACGGACCCGAGTTCGAATCCGAACGGGTCGAAAAATCCTCAGGAATTTCACGGGGAATGGTCCGTTTAAAAATGTCTGGGCCCCGTCCCTCACCACCCGGCAGCCCCATTGTGGGCCTGACCGAACTCATAATGGGCTTGCAAAAAGAGGCCCTCTTAATGCCCACAGAGTGGAAAGAGTTTAAAAAAAAAACAAAAAAACTCTCTTTTAACTATTCAAAAAAAAACCGAATATAAAAACTATAAAGGAATTAATAAACGCCTGCGAGCCAAATTATTAATTAATCAAGTCGCGTAATTTAATTAGTTAGCAATTAACTTAATTCTAGCCTGAAAATAATTTGGCTTATTGATGTTTGGTTATAAGAAATTTATTGTTTCTATATATATTCTAAATGTATTGTTTCTATTGTTTGCTTTATATCTATGTACAGAAGGATTGTTTCATTATTATTTACAATTTTATTATATTGATTTTTTTGTTATAAAAAAAGAATAATTCGAATAAAATAAATTAAAACAAACTATAATTTTGATAATATAAAATTATATAACGAAACTTAATTATAGAAAACTTTAATTAATTAATAAATTGGAATAATTAATATTTAATGTATGAGTTAAATTATTAAAATTTATAAACNACGTAGTATCGCCCCTTCAATAAAACCGTTACGTAGTATCGTCCTCTTCAGTTCAAAATTCCGATGCCGAGGGCCAAGGCTAACGCCAAATTTGTACTGCATTGAATAGACTAGTGACTAGTATAATGTTATTTGTTTAATTATTGTACGATATAACGAATAAAATATCTAATTATTCTTAATATAATGTTTTACTATATCGCCCAGAAAATTGTTTTTTGCCTCCCCAAAATATAAATTGTTACAAATCGCTCCCTCAACATGGAAAAACGCCCACATGGGGGCGATATCGCCCCGTTGAGAAACACTGGTTTAGATATAATGCAAATTTTGTATATTATTGAACTGAACTCAACTCCGTTTAAATAAATACATATACTAAATTAGTAGTTTAAAGTCGAACACTAAATACAACATTATATTTCTCAGAATATAATCCGCTAAACCTCTTCGAGAGATTGTTCTTGTAGAGGTCCACCCACATAAAGTAGATTTCTATAGAAATTCTGTAATATCCTGATACCCGTTATACTGTACTTCAAAAATCTTGTTCTAACAACGACCTACGTATCAAATACGACAAATACACTTAGTTTATAGATTTTAAACGATTTTAAATAATTATCGTAATTTATCATTTTTAAGAAGTAATTTATTTGCTGTATTTACAAACAAATTTTGAAAATTTATTTGCTCACCATCCATCTTCGGATAATTTCAGTCTCAGAAAAATCTTATTTATATTCTAGTTATTCGTGATAAAAAAAAGAACAGATATTTATCAAGAATACATAATATATAAAACGTAATTTTACATAAAGAATAATTAACGCGTAAACACTAAATTTTTACCTCCACTTTAATGACCTATTATAATTCTTATTAATTAAAGAGTTCCGAATTTATAACACTAAAAAGTATGTATAATTTTTAAAATAATTTTTAAGGATTTCACTAAACATCTTCAAGAGACAGTGATAGGTTAATCTTATCATAAGAGAAGGATAACAAAAGTCCTTTTATATTGACTGAACGTAAAAAAGTAATATCAACTCTTGACTCACCCCTGCTATGACGTAAACGATTCTAACTAGTAACAGCAAACAGGAACACCATAAATAGAGTACTAACCCCAATTGCACTAAACGGAAAACTAAACTTGTGTTTAAAAATTAAAAATTTTGAACTAAAGGTAAGGAATTAAATATGTAATTAATATTTTTAAATTTCTAATAGAATTAAGTTACTTTCGTGATTAATTTGTCATTTAACGTACGATACATAAATTAAATAATGTATTATCAGTTATAATGAATGCAAAGTTTAGAATGTATTTTGAAGTTAAGTTGATATATAAGTTTTGTAGAATAATAAACAAAAGATAAAACAAATGCCACGTATAAAACAAATTTTATTTACCATTTTTATATTTTTTAAATATATAATATTTAATATTGGTTAATCTGAATAAATATTTTTAAAGTTATATAAAACCAAATATGTAATGTTAAATTTCTTCTTACGATTTAAAAATTTGTTGTGTTATATAATGTTTACGTAAACATTCAATTAATAGTTAAATAAAAGATAAATATTTTCTAGTAACATTCTTCCGTTTACGATAGTTTTTTCCGGCACATATAACTACTAATTGGATAAAACTTTATCATTTCAAACCATTTGCAATGACCTCAATATTATTATTATCCATGCTGNTAGCGAACATAACTGGCGCCCGGGGCACGACACTTTATTGGCGCCCCTCCCCTCCCCCTCCCCTCCCCCTCCCCTCGATGTCTCTACACACGATACTGAATATTTTTGATAATTATTTACTAATTTTTATGGACGATCTACGTACACAAAAATTCAACAACGAGTTGCGTAACTTTTCCAGCTGTTAAGAGATTTTATTTAAAAATAACTTTTATATTATTAACCATAATATTAATAAACTAGCAGATAAGCCCGGCGTTGCTCGGGCAAAAAGTAACGATAGCGAAGATTAAGATTATTACATTATAGCTAATCTTATCCGTTTTCACAGAATGCAAGAATTATGTCCCCCTGTTTCCAGACTAATTAGAAAATTTTTAGATAGGTCTAAAAATACAGTATGTTCAATTTCTCGCAAAAACGCAAAAAACCGCATCTGCGATTGTAAATCTTGCACGTCGCTTTCACTTAACACTTCCATTCTTAACACTTCCATTGTTAACAACCTTCCCCGCGGGGGAAGAATTTCGAAAAATTCCTTCTTAGTGTATATGCTCGTGACGTACTATATCCTAACCGTGTACCAAATTTCAACCTTCAACTCCTAACCGTTTGGGCTTTGCGTTTATTATTATTATCAACCCATCTCTATTATATATACCCGTGTTTCCGAACGTGGGGCCTACACCCCACAGGGGGGCAATTGGATTGTTAAGGGGCAATTCGAAAATGGACTCGTCCAGAGTTTAAGTTAACAGTATAGGGGGCATAAGAATTTCAGAAAGGCTTAGGTGGAGGCATAGCATAAAAAAGGTTGGAAAACACTGATATATACTGTATAAATTGTGTGTAGCGCTATCTATTACGAGATTTTATCATAAATAGTTATTAAGTATTTTTTTAAAAGTTATTAATTATTATAAAATGGCAAAATGCCTAATTTTGAAATTAGAAATGAGCTTTGTAGAAAAAGTGGACATGCTAACAAGTAAAATCTTCATTAATTAAGTCCGACCCCACCCGAGATATGACAAGTGACCGTCAACCTTCAAAATTTAATAGCATCGAAATCGAACATACTGTATTTTTAGACATATCTAAAAATTTTCTAATGCCCTTTATATAAAAGATGTCACACCAAATTTCGTTTTTTAATCTTTATCCCATCCTGAGATATTAAACTAAATAAATGCCAAAACACACAAACACACATATACACATATTCACAGAAATTTTTTTGCTTGTTTTTTACTTTTTGGATTCAGGACGTGTCAAAAAGTGGAAATTTGAAAAACGTGTAGGGTCAAATTTGATAGAACTCGAATCCTTTTCCTCGTTAGAATGGAAATGTTACAAACCTCAAAAAGAAAATTACCTCCTGCTCAAATTGGTGATACCGTACTAATACAAGTCTCTGATGTCGACTGTGGCCATACAGATGCCCAAAATGTGTTGACAGTTCTTGTTGGAATAGAAGACTCTGACTTTTATAAATTAACAAACAAAAATGGTACCCTCAAGCAGCTTTATACCCGCAAGCAGTTCGTAATTTGTAAAGAAAAGTTACTTTCCATAGATGAGATTTCTTCTCAAGAAATATCGCTGAGAGAAGCAGCTGCAGATAATTCGAAAAGTGGAGGGCAAGGCTATACATTATACATGCCTTCATTGCAAAATAAAGTGTTCCACGAATAAATGCAGTTGTAAAAGCAAGGAACTCTTGTGAAATTCAAAGTGTCATAACAGTTTAAGTTGTTGCAATAAATAAGATTTTATAACGTTAATCACATAATATATGTATAAGTTTACTATTGCATATTATTTTTCTTTTCTGATTAAGAATGTACTGTTTATTTTAGGTTCAACAGCTTATTTACATGCGCTGTTACTTAAGTTTTCTCCTATTTTCACATATTAAAATGTTTCGTTTTTGTCTTAACGTAATAAAAACATTTTTATTCAATATTCACCATCAGTGCATGCTGAATGTCGACATTTGCCGGTGTAAGTGAGAAATATTTAGCAAATATTTCGTACATACAGGAAACGAATGTGTGAATGCTAACATTCACCGGAGAATCTCGACATTTGCCAGATATCGGTCTTTCACAGTAACATATCCACCACACATTTTATTTCACCAAGTAAGTTTTTATAATTTTATTTTTAATTTTAGCCCTTATATAGTGGCTAGCGATTCAGAATGTAATTGCGATATTGAAAATTTATTTTAAAAAAGTTTTGGCTCAAGATCATATAATGAAAAAGAAAACATTATTAAAAGAGAAAAGCCAATGCCTAAGTTAAATATAAACACTTCAATAAAAAATTTGTTCGACATTTTCACGATAAAATGGTTCTGTAAATGCATAAAAATGCAAAAATTGTTTTGTTGGCTTGCCTACTATTTTCAAATGAAATTAGTATGTGGAATAAGAATGGCTTTGACAATTTAGCTAGCAAAAGACACGAAAAATCGTCGATTCTTTCGTATTTGATGCAATTTGGAAATCGAAACAGAATAGAATTTAACATTAGTAAATAATATAAAATAAATATTGAAAATTATAACGAGGTACTTACGGCTAATAGATATATTTTATCTAAATTAATAGATGTTATATGTTTTTATCAAAGCAAGAATTGGCATTTAGAGGGCATAGGAAATCTATTGTATCTAATAACAGAGGTAATTATATTGAACTTGTTTATTTATTAAGTATGTCAGATAAATAATCTATTAAAAATACATTTAGAGAAGTAACTGACCCCTGGAAGTCGGCTTCTTACAGAAATATAGCTTCCCTATCATAAAATGTCACGGCACGCCACTGACTTTAATCCATTACAAAGAATAGATTTCCAATAGATTCGATTTTTATTTCTTGTGCCTTAAATTTTTCCCGTTAACTGACATAAATTATGAAAAATCTACTTGTGTTTCTGATAAACTAAATTAAACAAATTAGGGATCGATGCTATTAAATTTTGGTGATAAAGGTAGAGGGGTGGAGAGATAAAGGAGTATTGTGTGTCTCCAGTTGGGTCTGACTTAATGACGATTTTACTCGTTATTAACATTTAAATTTTTTTTTTTTTTTTTTATAAAATCCATCCCTACCCTCAAAATTAAGCTTTTCGCCATTTTATGATACTTAAAAATATAAAAAGTTTTTAAATAAAATATGATAACAGATGGCATTACCAAAATGTATCCGAAAAACTTAAACAAATCGTTGCTGTATTTTTTATTTTTATTTTATTTATTTTTTTACTTTTTGGAAAAGAAGGGACGGACTGGTTTTTCAAACTGCTTCACCGAGATTTTATTTTGGTTCTAGCAATATTTTAATCCTACGGGCTATGCACCTGTCGCCGCGGTTGTGGATACAAAAACGGGATAATATATGCGTTATCGGTATTTAAATAGTATTTAAATGCGACGAAATAAGGAATTCGTTTACGTTAATCTAAACTGTTTTGTTATAATTATTTCAGAATTAAAATTTTCCTTTTCGACGCCATAGTTTTGAAATGAAATTTTTATTCCGTGTACTTATAATCGTCACCTCCGTCTTCCAATTAAGTAAGCAATTTTTTATTAAGCGTATATTTTTAACAAACTCATTATAAAACGTAAATTCTACGTCTTTCAGATCTGGCCAATTATCGATGCTACAAATGCCTGTGGACCAGTCACTTCAATATCGACCAAAATTGTATCCCCTCTTACTTCAATAATAGTATTATTGAAATCGTTTCGTGTGATTCCGGATGCTTAAATTCATACGTATATCTAAATGGTAATTCATCTTAATTCTATCCTAATATAATTTTATATAAAATCTAAATACTAACGATACGAGAATTTTTAAAATTCGACGAAATAGTAAAAAAAATCTTTTATTGGGTTTAATTATTAATTTCGTACAAATTATTGGGCTGCAATCGTGAAAAACTGTAAACCTATAAATTCTCACAGGCTCTGTCCTTCCTTAATCTCTAGAACGTTGTTAGATAGATGAAAGTCAGGACCAAATATGGAAACCTTAGGATGGGGTCCGGTTAAGACCGGAAGTAACTTGATTTCAATTCAAAAATTTTCTCCCGAACGGAGTTAGATATACGACCCGTTGTAAACAGGAAACGCATAATTTACAGGGGAAAGACATTACTAAACTTAAATGTATTGTGACGAAAAATTGCAGCCCGGCATTATGACGATGTCACAATAAATAATTGCTCGTTAGAGAATAGAAAATTCTAAGCTACAGTAAATATTATTACTTAGTCTGATGTTATCTATACTAATATTATAAAGAGGTAATGTTTGTATGTATGCAAGTTTGTATGCAGCAGGTAATCTCCGAAACTACTCATCCGATTTCAAAAATTCTTTCACCAATATTTAGAATGGAACTTCAGGGTGGACATAGGCTGTATATTATTCCGTTAAACATTCATATAAATTAAATTAAAAGATATAATCTAGGTTAAGGCTTTTATGTCCAACAGATGGCGCTACGAGTATGACGCCCTAAGTTTGCTTTTCTGTGAGGCATTATGCTTTTCTGTGAAAATGAACTAAAGCATATCATCATCTATCTATCTATAAATAAAAATGTAATGTTCGTTTGTTCCTACCGATTCCTTTGAAATTTTGACACAACGCTGCATTCGAATACGCACGTGTTTTTATATAATATACATGTCGAAATTCAACCCCACTGAAGGGAGATGGTTAGGTTTAAGGCTTACCGTGAAGAACTTGGCTTCTATGATACTATTTTAGATGCGGGTTTTTGCGCCTTTGATTGCGTTTTAATAGGGTACGTCAAGAGAATGTACACTAAGAAGAAATTTTTCGAAAAATTTCCTCCCCACGGGGGAAGTGTTATAAATTTGTTAATAAAAATAGATAAAAATAGTGTTAAAAATAGATACATTTTGAGCCACAACAACGCGTGACGGGGGGGTCTGCTAGTTTGTCATAAAATTGGTTCTTAAAAAAAATATCAAATTTATTATTTCTCGAGACGACTTTATTTTCATAAATAAATTTATTAAGCGAGAGGAAATAAGAATATTAAAATCCTAATAATGTCAGCCTGAAATTTTTCGTCCTAACGTCTTTCCTCCGGCGTTTCAGTAAACCGATTAAATAAAGTTTTCTTCGACGTCTACAAAATGTAAAGAAAATTACGTTTTGGTTTTAACCCGGTGTTACGCGCGGAGCGTTACTCACGCACGGTTAGGCGCGCGGGTGCTATAGCATTCCTGTTTCAAAATTCAATTTTTCAAAACTCATAGTTTTTTTCGCGATTTTTTCATTTTGGATGTTTGTGGGCATGTGTTTTTGATGTATTAGTGAAGAAAACTACTTCAAATACATCGTTTTTATTTATTCGTAACGAAAAACAGAAAGTCTCCAGTTTTTAGAAATTTTTCAAAAAAAATTGTCAACTTCAATAGTGTATTTTACAAACTGTAAACAAGTGTGATGCTATCTAAGCTGTCAATCGTCTTCCTGTATGTATTTTTTAACTGTCACAACAAATAAATTCTTTGTACCAAACCCCGGGCCAAAAATATCTCAATATTTCCAAAAATACACCATCTAAAATCATACAGCAAGTAGAGGTAAAAATGGAGATTATTGGCAGATAACATCGATAGTAAACTTCTTTTACACTGTAATTGGTTAATTTATATGTCTGTTATTAAATCGACCTATAAAAACAATTGCTGGAAATATTCCCGCGAAATGCCACGCCCCCGAAGGCTACCACATCGAAGTATGTAAGCAATCGCTATAAAATCGCGTGTTTTAATTTTTTTTTCCACTTCTAATTTGCTAATGATAAGTCGCTTGACAGTATTTAGACGAATAAACATGTTTTCAACACCACTTAGCAATAAATATCGCCAAAAAACACCACCTTTCAAACTTTCAATGTTAAGTCTATGGGAAACTTTTTTGCCTTTTATTGGCTTTAAAAATCCTGATTTTACGCCTTTTATGCTCTAATTGGTCATTTCTATCATGATTGACTCGATATTAACCAATAAGCGTTTTATCGAAACTGTAAGTCAGATCCGCCCACCTCGGTTAGTCGCGCTAATAAAACTTACTCCGTTAGGCGCGAGGGAGAATATAGTACCCCACTGATTTCCATTGTGGCTCTATGTAAAAAATTGTTTTCGTGCAATTTTGAACTTTTTTATGTGCGATCTTCACACCATCGAAGACGGTACTGAGGACATCATTTTTCGGCACTAAAAACATCAAAAAATACACGCGTTTAAACACACAGGGGGTTTTATATCACCCCGCGCGCCTAACCGTGTTAAAGATCTATAAACTACAACAACTTCAATCCTTCGTAATGCCTGTATTTATCCTAATTTTAGAGCCGTAGAGAATTTTGTTTACGCGTTTCGAAATAACAATGCCGTAGCCGGTAAAAATACATTTTCGTTTTTGTAAAACGAAACGAACGTTTGCAAAACGGACGAAAACATACTGCAACTTTGTTTTCGTCGACAATAAGAATCGATAACTTCTTACGTATAACGGTAAATAAACGGATTAATCATACTCGCTATTATTCGGTGATGTCCTTTACATAAAATTTAAATTTATATACCAGGTGACCGAAAAGTCCGTTAATCGAAAATTATTATAATCGTTCGTTGAATAATTTTAAAAAATTGCCTGGGTCAATCAACTTTCGGGTCAATTCGTACACGTAATATGCGTAAATGAAAAAAAATACAGGAATATTTGTTATTCACGCGCATTTTCTTTAAAATAGCTTTAATGGTAAATTAAAATATTAATATATTTTATAAAATAACGATTTCAGGTACGATGGTTTCTTACACTCGCGCTTGCGCCCTTCGCCAGGCAGAAGACGGAGTTTGTCAAGAAAAAATGGACGGCCACAGCAAATTAGTGAACTGTTTTTGCAAAAAGGACTTTTGTAACGGCTGCGGCCACTGGAAAAGTGGCGCCGGGTGGAACTTGGCCTATTTAATATTTATTCACATTTTATATAAGGTTATCCGAACGTCGTTGTAAGTGAGTCACGTTTTATAACGGTGTGTATTAATCCAGCGCTTGTTATTTCCCAGAGTATCCCACGTGGCAACGTTTACGCGTTTCTTTCAATTTGTGCTAATTTCCATTTTAGGTTAAAAATGACAGTATTCGAACGCGGCTTCAGCGTAAGCCGTAACGTGGAAGCTTTGGCCCCTCGGGCCGATAACAAATGTGATACGGCTCGGGCCCTAAGTCGTAGCCCGTTTAACTATTCCGTTCGTAAATGTGACCCCATTGCCCATATATAAGAAAAACCCAGACTTCATTAAGGATACTCCTCGATATTTTTCGTCGTAGAACGTAAGTTTTTCAATTTGGAATGTTTGCAACGTAGTCGAAATGTATTATTGGTCCAGCGTATTCGGTATTTTATTTTAAACCGTGTTAAAATCTCGACAAATACGCCATTCGCCCTACGGTCCCAAGACTTACTCATCTTATTACGCGCCTAGCACCCGGATACACGAAAAAAAAGTCGTGCTGTAACGTTTAAAAACTTTCCGAAATTGCTGATAAAATTTCAAATTATTACAGACAAAAAATTAAAGTTTTCTAATTAAAATATTCGATCGGCCGTAGATTTGCATTACAGTTATCCCTCGCTTAACGTTGGATTTGATTAATTGTGGCCATCCCTTTATATACCAACAGAAATTTTAATTAACTCGCGGCTTTACCGGCCTTCTTTACTTAACGTAGAAACCGTATTCGATTAACGCGATTTTGATGCTCGCGATAGCTCCGAGGGATTAGTTAACCGCGTTGATCAAGGGGTATCTGCATTTCTTTTTTGTAAAATATGCGTTGCGTAATAAAATGGTGTGCGTATTTTAAAAGTCTTTTAACATCTTTTCTAGAAGGATTTCTATTTATTTCCTATAAGGATCAACAGATGGCAGTAAAACGAAAATTAACACGCAGGAAGCAAAGATTTTTAAATGTATTATAAATTTTATGAAGATGTGAACCGTGCACAAAATATATTCTATATACTGTATTTACCACGAAAAACTTATAATTTTATTATTATTTATTATAGGCAAATTATGTAAGTTTAACAACAATTTATATTTTGCAATGTAAGGCTAATATAAACTTAAAATTTCAATTAAAGTAATAAAATTTTATAATTTCAATTTTTAACTACACGTATATAATTATAAAATTTCGTCTATGACTATTTATAATTGCCTTCCTTAGTCCTAAAACGGTACCGAAAGTTTTACCGGATATTTTATCGTTTCTGCCAATTCTGTTATTGTATTACTCATGGGTTTACGCGTTATTCCATAAAACGAAACGGCGGATAGAAGCCGGGAAGAAACAATTTTAAAAAATGACTGACGATTTTTACACATTAAAAAATATGTAGAAGAGACTAAAATGTCTTCGTTTTTTGCCGTAACCGGTCACCGGGAATCACGGTCTTTCACTGCAGAGACGACCTTTTATTAGGGGCTACGTCTCTGCAAAAATATGCAAAACGGTTTAAAAAGTTTACTGGTGAAAAGTCAATACTTAGAAATACATAGTTACTTTTAAAAATCGTCAGCCATTTTTAAAAATAAAGTATGTATTTTTATTTTCTCAGCTCTGTTACATACTCTATAACACAGAAAGTATGGCCATTGGTCAAAAATTTTTACATTTTTGGATTCGGGAGACCTTGAAACGTCGAAATGAAAAAAAATATTCGGGGTTTTTTCTATATGTATGGATGTTAGTATGCGTTGCTGACCAACGCGCACCGACCGAATGCGCTGCTAACCCAATGCGTTCGATATTTATTTCGGTCGGCACCCACCGACGCTCTCGATACGCCGTTTAGAAAATTCGTAATAAAAAGTTTTAATTGGCCTAAATTTGAGCTTTTGTAATTCCGAGTAACATTTTGAATAAAATTCGTTTGTTTTCATGCTATTTTATCTTTATGAACGTAAAATGAAGCCGTAAAAGTGAATTAGGAAGTGAATTAGCTCTATGGGAAACCCGTGATCTTTGACTTATCGATCCGGAAGTTTGGCCAGTACTTCACTGATAACCAGAAAGGCTTAAGTTTAAAATTTGAGCTTTCTAGACCCTGTAGTTTTTTCTTTACCAGCGTCTGCAATGTCAGATGAAGAAAAAAAATAGAGAAGGTGGTATTATGGAACCCCATTTTCATTACAGTGAATTGTAAACAAGGTATCATAATTACACCCACATTTTTGTGCGAAAAGTACTGGTAACTATTAAACTAAATGTTCCCAATTGAATTTTTCGCTACCATAACTATAAGTATGGTTTTTGAAAGCTTCTGTAAAAAAGTCAGAAAGTAGTTTTAGGGAAAACAGGATGGTAATAAGGAACCCCATTGTATGTTTTCAAAAAAATGTTTAATATATTCAAAAACAAATTGAAAAGTACAAAAAAGTTAATNCGCTACCATAACTATAAGTATGGTTTTTGAAAGCTTCTGTAAAAAAGTCAGAAAGTAGTTTTAGGGAAAACAGGATGGTAATAAGGAACCCCATTGTATGTTTTCAAAAAAATGTTTAATATATTCAAAAACAAATTGAAAAGTACAAAAAAGTTAATTAATTACAAAAGCATTTACTCCAATGTATTTTATATACAAAAAAAATACTTTAATAATAGAAAAATATGACCTCCATCAACAATATATATTCCACCAGCTCTTTTTCAATATTCTCAGGAAGAATTGGCTTTCTACCTAGTGTCTCTTTCACAAATTGCTCCGGACGAATATCTGCTTGAAAATGTCTGAATGTCTGTTCGCAAAGTAGTTTTTGGCACCTCATAAAATTTTGCAGTTTTCTTCAACCCCATTTTCTCGTTCCTTATAATACTCACTGCCTCTTCCATTTTTTCCTGGCTTCGTGTCTCTTTGGGTTTTTCTTTGGATTCTAGGCATCTGAAAATTAAAAAAGAAAAATCAATTTGAAAAAAATCAGTTTAAAGAACACTTATCTATCCAGAACATTTTTTTAAACCAAAATAACTTCAGAATTTAGCTAGATCTACTTATTTACTATATAGTTTTAGGTATCTATTTCTTATTTTTTCATTTTTTTCTATTTTTTTCATTCATCCACCACATACTTTTACAGAAATTATTCCATGGTTTGAGTTTGTAGGTAATACGGAAACCAGAGGAGTCGGGTTCCATATTAAAAGTACCAATGGGGTCCGTATTTCACGCGTTGCCAACTTGGGTTAACTTACTTTCTGTCGACACCAAACTTTAAAACTTTAAAAACGTGAACATTAGACATACAGTACTAACATGTACAGGTACTCCTAGGCCTCTAGAACGGGACACACTCACCAGTTAAGCTACAACTACGTGATTTATATTTTAGAAATAATTAAATTCACTTACCATTCAAAAATTTGGAATTGCGAAAAACAGAAACGTCTTGTTTCTGAGTGCAACCGCATAACTGAAGTGGGAGGCGTCTTCCCTTCGCTATGGATGTCTGTCAAGTGCAGTTCAGCCACAATTTGCTAGAGTTCGCCTCTATTATCAGTCTGAAATGGAGGTTCCATAATACCTGTATGTTCCATAATGCCACCTTCTCTACAGCTCATTTGGCGATTTTTTCACTTTTCAATCGCTTATATTTTGATAACCGCATTATAGTAAATCTTGAAATTTTGTACACTACCTAAGAAAATACTTTTCTTTCGAACGAGATATTCGGAGTTACTTCGGGTGATTAGGGGGCGGAGAAATCGTTCCCGAAAATCGTCAACTACGATTTTGGTATAAGTAGTCGGTCGGTGACTTTTTTTACTTGGAGGGGAGTCATTGCCATGACTTTCGATGGAGTATATGCTATTTAATTTGTAGAAACATTAGCTACTCTTCTCGAATTTCTTGAAAGCCGTACTCTTCTCAATTCTTCAATCTGTACTTTCTCATAGAATGTATCATTTCACACTTGGCGGGGAAATTTCTAGTTGTAAAAAATTGATGGCAACCGAAGCGTCAAGAACTGATGCCGTTGGGTGACACGAATGTTTCCGTTAGTCGATATTATTTTCCGAGACATCCGGTTAAATAAAGTTTTCTTAATTCAACAAAATAGGAATTAACATTGTACCTACAGTTTCTAAGAATCATTACCTGTCTCAATTAAGAATCGATGGCATTTTTTTTTGTTGAAAATTTAGAAAAATCCCCTTAATTTTGTCAATTTGGAAGGCGACGCCTCATAGATATTGGAAGTACTGTGACAAAATATTCACTCTTAAAAAAGATATTGGAAAAAAGTGTTTGAAAACGCGGCTACATCGATATAAACTTCGTCATTCGGTGACGTTCGACCTGGAGAAGAAACGCTAATACTGTATCGGTAAAACAGTACAGAACAGAAAACATAAAATAACCACTCGATTTCGACCAATAAATATTCTTTACAATAAAATTGTCAGCAAACAATTGCAAATTTAATAACAGTCGGAATGACATGTAACTGTGATAAAGCACACATACTGATTTTAAAAAGTAAGTCAATTTTTAGATGGAGCCTCTTATGGGCAATTTAAACGGACTGTAAAAATATTGAGCTGTGATTAGTTGGGTATATTTTTATTTTATTATTATTGTCTCTCTTTTCTCTGTTCTTTTTTTTGTTGATTGTATATATTATATATGTCTGTATCTTTAGTTTTTTTTTTACCCTTGAAAAAGGCAATGGTCATAGGGTCGTTTGGTTAAATAAATAAATAAATTAATTAATTAAATAAAAATAAATAGTATATTGCAATTAGTTTATAATATAGGCGATTATGGCGAATGGAAGTTTGGCATAGGAGCGGAGCGAGTGGGCCAATTTCCAAGAATACCATAATCGCTAATTATAAACGAATTGTCATACTGTATTTTGTGATTCGTCGCCTTGCGATCTATCTCCTGTCTCTTCTTCCTTTCGGAGTACAAGCGAATAGCAATACACTCCTCTGTACCCAGGAAAGGAAAGAAAGGAAAGTATTTTGTGATTAGATTACTCCTATAACACTATAGTTATGGAACTCAAAATCATGTATAAACAGTGTTTGTGGCATCCGTGCCATAAAAATTTTTTGAGCATGGCTTTATGGCACGGATGCTACAAATACTGTTTTTATACCTCGTACATGATTTTGAATTCCGTAAATATAGTGTTATAGGCGTAGTCTAACTACAAAAGATATTTAAACGACTTTAAAAATATTACTTTAAACTTTATATTTCGTTCTTTTATATTTTGGTACCGGTGGAATACTATATATCAGCAATGGTTTTATATTTTGCACATTTTGTATAAAGTTTTGCAATGGCTTGTTACGGATTCGCGGGACCGGAGTAAATTCGAACCAGGGGCCTATAGTGTCGACTTCGGGCGTTTTACTTCCGGGGAAAATATTTTCTTACAAGTGATAGTCAGGAGCCCCGGGCAATCGCCCTTTCTGCCTGTGGGATAACGCATCACCGAATTTTCCAAACACGCGATTAGCACTTAACTAAAATTAAACAAATTTTTAATTAAGTATTTAGTCGACCGATTATTTGTTGACCGTCCGCCAACTTTTATTTCGGCCGGCAGACTATTCAACTTTTTAAAAAGTAATCAAGCAAATAAATAGCACTCGATTTTCGATTAGGTTCGAAGTCGTTCCGCTAACTTTCGTCCGCCGCCGAAAAAAGGTGGCCGGAGGCCGAGAGCGTCAAAGCAAAGAGGGCGATTTTGTCGGCGACCAACCAGTGGCAGAAAAAGCGGTAGACGGCGGGAAAAAGAAATAAATACCGGTAGCGACGGTTATTTGCCGACCGATGGCTATTTTAGCGGGTTGG